TGCCAGACTGTGGCTCTCCACACAGCTCTCTGCTCATGTAGTGGGGATTCAGCGTTGTTGTTAAATATTTCTTCATTTATCACCTCTTCCTCTTGGAAATGTGGTGCCAGGGATGATCCTGCTGGTTGTCAAGTTTCCCTGACAACCRAGGAGCACATCCTCTGCTGAGCTGCACACCCAGCCTGGTGTTAGCTTGGCTATCTGACCACGGCTGCAGGGTTGGGCTGGGTTTCATCCTGGTTTTGGGTTTCCATGTGGGAGCAAAGCCCCTCTCCCCAAGCTGAGCAGGGGAGAAGCAGTGGAGGTGAACAATAAAAAGTATTAAAGCCCTGCCATTCTGCAAGGAAATTCAGTGCCATAAAGAGACCCGGAGTGAGAAAGGGAATTTTGTATATTTTTTCTAAATCCTCACTAATTTTATTTATTTATTGACTAATATGGAAAATCACCAATTCAGTCCTTTTGCTCTGTAATTTTTAAGATTCTKTACTACAGATATACACAGAGGGCAGAAGAACCAATGCTCAGATTTCTTGTTTTGTCTGATTCGATTGCCTTCACCGGGAAAAATCAGAAAGTTTGAAAAGAACCAACGAGAATTACTGCAATTGCCATAAAGTATTACTMTTCCCTAAATCACTTGTGTTTCTTCTTTGCATCACACTTTTCATTAGGTTTTGAAGAACTCTTTTCCTATTTAATTAAAAGTACAATTATTACTCTTAGATTAAACATTATTTTTACTGCAAAACCTGAGTTATCTTTTCCAAAACACACCTACCAAATTCTGAGAGACTCTCCGGTGTGATTTCTGTAAAATTCCACRGAGAAGTGAGTTTGGGCTGGATATATAAGCTGTGTCTCACCTGTGGTTTCAGGGTAAAAGAGCTGGCCGAGATAAGGTGCGTCCAAACCAGAGGAAGTAAGATGATGTGCATGTCTTGTTTTCTTCTTAGATTAACTTTCCTGCTAGCAGTGCAGACTAATTTATCTTTAACCTTCTGTTTTCCTGGTTGGTTTGCTGCAAGCTGGCTTCCTCGTAACAATATCGTGTTTTTTATCCAAGATAATAAGAGTTGGAATGGAGATTGAAAATTAATCCCAGGCCTGGAATGCCATCTTCAACTTCAGCAAGTTTTAATATCCATAAAATATAAARGAGGGTTCAAATAGGATTCTCAATTTTCAATTTTAGTCGTGGTAGGAAAGGCGAAATATYAATCTTTTCCAAGAAGCTTTTAGGAATTATTCAAGTTTATGTCCCTTCTGTAGCTGCAAAATTGGTTTTGCTCTGGCAGTCTGGAAGAGGTTCTTGGCTRCATGGTGTTTGCTCCCTGCAATAGCCAAGGTGTTTCAGATATAAAACCCACTCTAGAGTTCAGGGAAATGCCTTGAAATTCCCAATGGGACCTTAATCCAAAAAGCAGTGGCAGGAATTCACGTGCCAAATGTGAAAAAGGGGTTTTTTTGCATGCTTCTGCAAGGGTGGTGGCTGGCTGAGGTGATGYGAAATAAGGGTCTTTGATAAGGTTTGGATAATTTAATGAGTTCCTGCCCCTTTGGGCTTGTGTGCTCCCTCTGAGTCAGTCTGGTTGTTCATTCTGGTCATTCCTGGCTGTCCTGTCCCTGRTTTTTACAGGGTTTGCAGCAGGGTTCTCCCTTTACCCCACAGGATACCCAGGATTGTCCCCTTCCCACAGGTCACTCACAGCTCCCAGGGCCACCAAAACCCTGCTTTGTCACCTCCTGCCTGGGGCAGGGAGCACTGAGCCCATCTGAGCACACAGATTTTTCTCCTGAAAAATCTGGAAAGAGAAAATTGTCAAACCGAGAGTGACATCTCATTTAAAAACAGATGAAAAATGGAAGCGAGAGGAGCTCGCTGTTGCTCCATGAATCCCAGAGCTCAGAGGATGCAGGGAGGCCTTGGCTGCCTTCTCAAAGATTATTTTAGGATTCAGCCTTCAGCTCCTGACAGTCCCACCCCACCTGGAACCAGCAGCAGGCACAGGAGCCTGCTGGTGAACCTGCCCCACTTTTTTAGGGAAAAAAGTGCTGGAAACCCCAGAATTTGGGATTGCAGAGAGCACTCCCTGCCTGCTTGGCAGGTTTGTACCTGAAAAAACAAATGGCCTTGGAASGAAATTTAATTTTTTGTTTCAAATTACACATTTTTCAATCAAGCTGCCAGCAACCTGCCCAGTGGGTTTGAAGTGTGAGAAATAAAGCTGGTGCTTTCCATTCAGTGCCTGATTTGGATCTCCATTACCTGGTGAAAAGGTGGATATTGAAATGGCTTTGTGCATCAGAAAAGCAAGATCTTTATCTGAGATTCCCACAAAGGCACGGCCAGCAAAGCYGCTCCTTTGAGCCATGTCTTTATCTTGTACAAATAACGGATATTGGGATTTTTCTGGGTTTTTTTTTTTTTAACTTGTTTTGCTTATGGCTCAATCTTGTGTGGCCTCAGAAGGAGCTTTGTGCTGCCAAGAGCCCCAGCACAGGTTTGTCCCAGCAGCCACRTCTGCCACGGGATCATCCCATGCAGAATCAGGGATTTCAGCTGACATTGGCTCCCCCWAAATATTTGCACTGCCCCTGATCCTGATCAGCATCTCCCAGAGCTGCTTTCATGCAAACCATTAATAACATTGCTGTGGAAGAAAAATCCACATTCTAAGCAGTATTAAATTTTTTAAAATAGAGATCCAAATTTCTGAAATTCCTATCCCTTTGTCAGGGCAGAAGGTTTGCTGYACTTACAAAGTTGCAGGAAGAGGCATCAGAGCTGAACATGGTTTTCAAGTGGCATGTGGTTATTTTGTCAGATTATTATCTTACATTACTGCCTGCATTTTCTGGCTTTTAACTCCTCTCGGGTGGGGAAAGTTTGTAATTTCCAGYTTCCAGTGCCAAAGGTGTGTGCCAGGCCTGGCTTTTAAAGGGATATACAGTGGGACTTTGGATAAATCTCCATTTTTATAATTTTCTTTATCTGTRAAACAGTGATAGCACACAAATATTGTCCTTTTGTGGAGCAGAGAGAAGAGCAGTTATCCTGAATTGTCAAACACACATCAGTGGCACAAAGCAAATTAACCACATTAGAGTTTATTACCCAGACCAACACACCAGACAGATGGGGAAAGCACTTACATCCCAAAGAATTATTAAACCTTATTGGCTTTGCTTCTGCTGGTGTATGGGATTATTTTGAGGGGGAAAAAAAAAAGGGATATTATCTTGTAGCCTGCATTATCTCTTGGTGAGTCTTACTTTTTTTCTCTTCTGTTAACTTTGAGATTTGAAACGCAGCTTTCTTGAGCAATGCCCTGGTGTCTCGTGTGAAATACTGAGACTGTTTCAAGCTCTGTCTGGCCAAGGCAGAGCCCTTGTATGTAAAATCCCCCTTTCTCCCTTTTCCAGATCAACCCTTGATTGAAAATCAAAGTTGATTGTACTGCTGGTTTGGAAGTGGCCGTGTTCATCTGCATTAATTCTCATCTGTTGTGGGGGTTTTAATGCAGGTTGTTTTATTCTCAGTGCATGACAAAATGTTCTTAACTCTTGCTATGCGGTGACTTGAAGAACTCCATTTTAAAAGAGAATGTTTGGAAGAGGTATTTTATGYCCTAAAATACCCAATGTACATTACAGCATGGTATTTTTGGATAGCCTCTATTTTTAATTTCACAACAAAAGCACCACATAAGCTGCTTTTGGCATGGAAATAAATTATCCTGGTTTTTTATTTTGTTTCTGGGCTTTGCTTTGATTTTGCTCTTTTAACCAGATAAGCATATCTGCATTAYCTGGTTACACACGAGCACAGTTTTCCACTTAAATTCCCTCGATAATGGCAAAAGTGTTGCTGGAATGAGCCTTTTGAAGGCGTGTCCGTGCACATTTTGTGATTCAGCCTCTCACCTGGCAATGCCACCTCAGCCCTGGGCATTCCCAGCCCCAACCTCCACCCAGGGATCCCTTCTGCCAGGAGAAGGGGCAGTTCTTCTCACCCTGCTGTTTTTGTGTGTGTATGTGTGTRTGTGTTCTTCAGAAAGCCAAACTTGGGCCAGCTGGTAACAAAGTCATTACTTCAACAGAAGACAAGAACTCAAGTGTGCCGTCCAACAATCTGGACAGGGTGAAGCTGACAGATTTCAACTTTCTCATGGTTCTTGGAAAGGGGAGCTTTGGGAAGGTAGGAATTCTCATTTTCCTTTTTTTTTTTTTTTTTTTTTTTTTTTTTTTTTTTGTCCTTTTCCTTGAGGAAGAATGATTAAATAGTTCTCTAAGAGGCAAAATGCAGAGTTAAAAGAATGTGCATTTCTGAGGAAGGATTTCTTAACAGAGAGCAGGAGACAAAGGACTAGCAGGCTTCAGTCCTGATTGGCAGTTTTCTTGGAAAAATAAAAACAAATTAAAAAATCAGACTGTTTTGGGCAAGATGGGAGCTTGTTGCTGCTTTTTAGATCCTCTCGGCAGTTTTAAGGGAATTAAATCTGTTTTTCTGGCTTTGCTGCCTCGGTCACTCTGCCAGTTCTGCAAGTGACCAACATTGGTAAGGCTGAATATTGGGGAAAAACAGGAATAGTGCATATATATATATATATATATAAATATATTTGAAATCCATTAGTTGAGAGCACAGACTCCTGTTTTTCTGTCTGTTTGAACAAACCCACGTGACCAAGTGCCCTTTGCTGAAGGAGTCTCCCAGGATTCGACATTTTATCAGCAGCGCCGAGCCCGCCATCATCCAGCGGGTTTGGGCAAGGGCTGGCTGAAATGGCAGGTGCAAAATGATCACAATTGCGGGGTTTGGATCCAATTTGTCTTTCCAAATTCAGGGACAAGCTGCATTGCCACCTCTCTAAATCTCCARGCACCTGAGTGACCTTCTCCCTTTGCTCTAAGGGGTTTTCACGGGGCTGTTCCTCTCTCCCTGCAGGTGATGCTGGCAGACAGGAAGGGCACAGAGGAGCTCTACGCCATCAAAATCCTGAAAAAGGAYGTGGTGATCCAGGACGACGACGTGGAGTGCACCATGGTGGAGAAGCGAGTGCTGGCCCTGCAGGACAAGCCCCCGTTCCTGACCCAGCTCCACTCCTGTTTCCAGACAGTCGTACGTGAGCTCTGTCTCTTTTGATGATGTTTCCAAAACCCAAAATTTTGGCACATTTTATCACCATCCAATCTTTGTATCGTAGCTCTGCACATAGGAAATGGTGAAGGAATACCTCATGGAATTACCCCTCGTGTCTTAAATATCAAAATTGTGTTCGGGGGTTGTTCTTCATGCAGCCATTCCAGCCGTCCTTTGTGCCACATTCCAGAATGTGGCAATTCCTAAGTGTGATTTTGCCAAGTCACAACCTCAAGTCCAGATTCCCAAAGGTTCTTAAATTCTTTCAAGGACCTGAGGATAGTGGTTGCAAAGTCTTAATGGCTGTTATTATATCGTGGGGTTATTAGTCACGGAGAAGTGTTGGTGGATTTAATTGAGTTTTCTGTCACTTCTGGGTGACACTGAGGGTTTTTTTTTCTTCTTTATATCTGAAGTGGGTATTTGCCCATGGCATTGCAAAGCATCTCCCAGTGACGAATTCCAGGGTGGATCTGGTGTCACTGTGCCAGGCTCTTGGATGATGTGGAATCRTGAAATCGTTGAGGCTGSAAAAGTCCTCTGAGATCACCAAATCCACCCACCAGCCCACATTCCCCACAAAACTGTGTCCTCAAGTGCCACATCCACWCCAYCCTCCAAAGAAAAACTTACTAAGGAGGATTAGAAATGGCCTTAAAGCAGGAATTTTGGACCATTTTTGTTTCTTTTTTATTTCTTTCTAGAGCCAGATTTTTCAGACAGAGCTATATTTGCATATTTCTTGGAATCCTTGAAGGCAAATAATCTGTAAAAAGCATGGCACGAAAATTGGCAGATCTAGACAGATCTCATCCATCATTTACTCTTGAAGGTTGTACAAAACGTTCCACTTCCATTTCCTGATCTATATTTTTTTTGGCCAGTCCTAATAATCCTAAAAGCTTTTTAATAACATGCCAGTGACTTCTTTTTTCCTTTCTGATCAATGAATATCTGATATTATCTCTAATGTATTTTTGTGCCTCTTTAATACCTTATCCCAGGACCGGCTGTATTTTGTGATGGAGTACGTGAATGGTGGGGATCTCATGTATCACATTCAGCAAGTGGGAAAATTCAAGGAGCCACAAGCAGTGTGAGTGCTCATGTTCATGGATTTAAATCACATCATCGCCTTGATTTTACGCTGTAAAAGGATTTGATTTCTTCTTTGTCATCTTCCCAGTCTCAGGATGAAGCCCAGGCTGGCCTTTGTTGGTTTTAAGGCCCAGAATTTTTTTTTAAATTTCACTTGGTGTTAAAAATGTTGTTTGCACATGTAGATCAAAGGTAGCTGTGCCTTTATGCAAAAATACAGCACAAACAAAGGCAGGCAAGGCCTGCGTGAAAAGTGATGAGGATTTAAGCACAGCAGCAGGAAATTAAAGATGTTTATTGGTATTCTGGTGTTGTTTTTAAAAGCAAATACTAAAAAACAAGCAGCGAGTAGAACCCTTCAGTCTGAATTAATGCTACAGAGAAAGGCAGCACAAATAGGCTCAGCATTGCAATGTAAATTACGGTTTATACAGGATAAATTTAATGTATAGCTTGTAAGAACTTCCATGATATATTTGTGAGAAGTTAATAAAGGATCAGAAGCTGTTTATGTACACGATTCTTTCCAGGAAATTGCACATCTGGYCCATCAATGAGCAACTGAAAATGATCTGTAGCATCTTTAAGAGTGAATGGATYCATCCGTATCATTTTTGTCATCCTTGTAACACCTCATCACCACTTATTAGTGTTCCATAAACCATTCACTAATAAAACTTCCAAATCAGGGCTGACCAACTGCTGTAAGCATCCAGTTAAAATAATCCCTTACGCTGATTTAAGCAATCAGGGCTTGTTCAAAYGAGAGGCCTTCTAAAAATAAGCTTTTCAGATGCAGACAAACATTTTCACAGCTCACTGAATAAAACCAGGATGGTGTCAGCTCCTCCTCGACTCCCAGCTAATGCAACCTGCCAGCACTTGACAAAATTTGTGGTGTTTTGTGGCAGCTTTTGCCTGTGCTSTATCTCCATCCCACCAACACCTCGGACCAAGTGCTGCCAGATCTGTTGCTTCCCCCTCCCTGGTGCTGAAAAAAATTCATCTTTAAATAATCAATCCCCTTGCGTGGAATTCATGCAGCCACCAGCATCCTGCACCTCTTGGTGTGTTCAGCAGTTGTGTTTTATATGGTAATCATCTTAATTAGCTGTGTGTAATTAATCCATTAACAACCTGGATAAAGGAATGTCGTTCCTGTGAATTATTTCGTGCTGTACAAACGGTGATGCACGTTGGGCTGCATCCTGAATTCATWGATTTGTGATTGGAGATAAGGAACTTTGCAGCAGAGTCAGATTGGTGCTAAAAAATGCTGAGATCCAGCTGCTCTGTTTTTTTGTGGTCCAGGGAGCCATTTTCAACTTTTTTTTTTATTTAATAGTGCATTATTTTATCATCAAATACTCAAAAGGTGTCTGTTAAGGCCCAGCTGAAGTGAGTTGTCTTTTAAGCCACCTCTATATATACACTATAAATTATTCATTTCATATTATATTATYATTCTTTACCATGATTAATTCCAAATTTATTTTGCCAGAAGAAAATCACGAGGCAATAAGAAATGTGTTGATTTTTTTTTCTTTTTCCCCACACAGGTTCTATGCAGCTGAGATCTCAATTGGCTTGTTCTTTCTCCATAACAGAGGGATTATTTATAGGTGAGTATGATCTGACATTAGCAATTTGGGAACTATTTTTAAAATCCCAACAGGATCAGTTTCTCGAACATTTCAGTGTATTTTTAAAACACTTTTTTTAACAGAAAGTTATCAGTGTAGAGCTCTTTTTGTTGTGTTGGTGCTGGTGAGGTGCAAACCAAAGCTGCTGTTTTTCCTACACCTGCGCTATGCCCAGCTCAAATGAAAACCCCTGAAAATTGAAAACTTCCTTTTTTTTTTTATTCCTGTGTGGTGTTTAATAGTTTTACACATGGAGAATAATCTGACCTTAGGGGATCCCAAACATTAACCTTAAATTGCTGTGATTCTTTGCAGAGATCTGAAATTAGACAATGTGATGTTGAATTCAGAAGGACACATTAAAATTGCTGATTKTWTCCCAAACATTAACCTTAAATTGCTSTGATTTTATGCAGAGATCTGAAATTAGACAATGTGATGTTGGATTCAGAAGGACACATTAAAATTGCTGATTTTGGAATGTGCAAAGAGCACATGTTGGATGGAGTAACAACCAGGACCTTCTGTGGCACTCCAGACTACATTGCACCAGAGGTAAATATTGAGCTTTTCAAGAAGGAAATTGTCCCTACACATTTTATGCCCCTGGGTTTAGGTGGCTGTAACTCCAGATTCTCTGTGAGTGGCACTATTTATGCTTCTGCAGGTAAATTGAATATATTTGTGAATTAATGCTGTTATCAATAAGATTCCACTGTTTTAAGAAATACCTTGTTAATTGAAAAACTGACTTTTTATGAGGTGCTTCAGATGTTGTTTATTCCAGCAAAAAGCTAAAAAAAGTTCAACAATTTCTGATCTTAAATTTGTAGCCTGGAAATATTATACTGAATTTTGCAATTTGTGAAGTCACACAAACTTCCTGGGTGYTGCTGAGCTTCTTCCTGAAATCAGSAAATATTTCCCTGGGATCAAACAACGCTTCTTTAATCTATTTCTCCCTAGGTTCACACAGCWATCAGAACACATTTATTTAAAGGATTGTTTGGCATTTTCAGAAATCCCAAACCACTCCCCGATTTTTGGGAGGGGGCTCAGGAGGTCTCAAAGCTTTTTGCTGAGCTTTCTGTAAAACCACTGTGGTCTCCTCCAGGACACGTCCTGCCAGTGCTGCATGASTGTCACAATTTGCTGTTCTTCATCCCAGGACAGCTCCTGTCATTGGAGTCYTCTTCCAAAAGCTCTGGGATCAGGCTTTGAGTGGAGTTGTTGTAATAAATCCATATTTGGCCTTGAGTTTTCCGTGACTTGGCCATAGCTGAAAATGGCATTGAAGCTGAACCAGCTGCAGTGGGTTTAAACTGGAAACTCCATCACCAGAAATGCAGTTGGGCTTTAAGGCACTGGGATGAACACGAGCTCAGAGCTAAGACTGTGMGTCTGGATGGGATTTGTATTTCAGTAGTTTAGGTCTAAAGGATTGAAAACAAGCAGATGCGGTGATTTGGGTAWAATTCAAAGAGATGAATATTAAAATCTGGTGTTTGTGCATAGTGGGCTTTCAGGAGCCTTGATTTGTTTGGCAGCAGATTTGATGCAAGAGGCTGGGTCCTGATCCAAGGGACTCRGTTTTTCACTGAGTACTGAGCTCTGGCTGGAGCATTCCTGGCTCTAATTGAATGTTTGTTGGAACAGGGCAGATTTATACATGGACGAGTAAATTAGTGTCTAAGGTGAATTTTGTCATCTCGCTGAAACTGGAGTGAGAAATAGTTTGTTTTTTTTCCCGGTTGCTAATTCATGCTTTTCMGAGTGAAATATTGTGGATTATAAACCCTTGTTTTCTCACCATTTGCTGCTGCATGCTGTAGGATATCAGAACAACCAGGGCAGCATTTAATTTTCTTCTGTCAAAACACAAATGAAGCCAATATTACAAATTAAAGTGTCCTTTCTGTGGCAGTTGTCTTGGGCCAGTTCATGCCAAAGAACATTTTGTCAGTACCAGAACGCTCAGGATGGGTCGATGCTGGAGTGAATTATTTTAACTTTATTTGGAAATTTCATATAAAGAAATAAATCTTTTAGCAAACATCCAGTGAGAGGAAATTCATCTATTATCTTACAAACAGATTTGATTTTCTTTTGTTTAATTGGCTGATTTTCTTTTGTTTYTGAGGTCTTCATTGTGACTGACAGATTGCTAACTAGCTTTGGTAAACTTCAAAGCTTCCTGTTCCGCTTGCAGGGCTGTTCCAGCATGTTTCCGTGGGCTAAAATGTATCAAATATAATAGATTTTAATGAACATTCATTTCCACGGTGCCATTCCCTGCTGGGCGGGGATAAAGGAGCTAAATCGAAATAAACTGGGGAAGGTACCRGGAGTCCTGTGCGTGGGCTGCGCTCAAACGCGGAGAGGGAAAAAAACCCGGAGAATTCGCTCTTTCTGTCATTATTTGGGGAAGATTGTGCGGCTGAGGAGCCCACGCTGTCCCTGCAGGAGCCCGCGGGTGGATAGAGCACAAACAAAGCTGCAAGGACCCTGCAGGTCCTGTAGGGTTGTCCCACGCCCCAGCTCCATGGAGAGCCAGGGGAACGCAGCACTGCCTTCAACAAAGCCAACCCCTCAATCTGGTGGGCTGCAAAATAATGTTTTCTTTTTTWAAAAAAGCGATAAAGTTGCCATGTGCCATTGCTGAGGTGTGTGATGGGCTGGAATTACAGTTAATTTTCTTGTGCAGTGCAAATTGAGGGGCGTGCAGAGGTTAAATTGTTGGGATGCCAGGCCTGACAGCTCCTCTGGATCACAAAGTGGTTCTCTCGTACGGAATATTTCCTGATGTGCTCAACTTAAACATTTATGGCCAGAGTGGTGAAATAGCTGTGAAATCAATTAGCRCTCGGTGTTTCCTTGACCAGTCAAGAGAGACAGGAGGAGATGGAGACAGGAGGATTAGGGGAAGGGATTCTGCCTGCACAGAGCCACCCCCATCAGCATCCCTGCAGCAGCCCAAGTGCTGAGCTGGAATTTCAGAAGAATTTAAATTAGAAACTCYATTTCTCCTTCTCTTCCATCTCACAGCCTGAAAACCTTCAGTTCTAACCTTGAATTTGCCAGGATTGTGGGAGGCAAATAGGTATTGCAGAGGTTTGGAAAGTGCATGTGACTGTTTCTTGTGCTGGCAATATTTATTTCTTTTAATAACTGGGTTTTCACTTTTCCAGCAGATATCATATGTGCTCACAAAAGATTTCCTCTTGCCTCCGGGATAAAATCTTTTCATCCCAACTGGCTACTAGCTGCAATGATCTAAACATTCCTACAAATTGCTGATATTAATCTCCGTGTCCTACTCTTAGCTGTGCCTTCCTCGGAGGCAAAACAGAGGGAAAAAAAAAAGAAAAAAAGTGACTTCTTCTGCCAATTTTGCTTGATGAGAGAAATTCCTGAGCTCTTTTTGAGTGCTCAAATCCACAGAACCTGGAAAGGCAGAGCTCTTAATGTATGGCAATAGAYGGGTAAAATGGGACATTTGGAATGCAAAAGGACATGAAAAAGGCAATACTTTAAATTAATGATGGAGGAGGAGGGGAAGAGAAGGGCCCTGTCAGCTTTCCACTGCTGCCTGGCCAGGGAAAAGCAGAAATCACAGCTGGAGGAGGGTGCAGACTTTCATTTTGAGGGTCAAGAATTTCCTCAGTGCTCTGTGGGTTTGCCCTGCACACCKTGGTGGGACAGGAGCTCATGGCCATACAGCCACATGCCCTAAAGGATGCCCAAATTGTCACCTGCAGGCAGAATGGCCTTGGCAGCTGCTGCAGGGCGGGCAGGGGTGGCTGTGAGTGCAGCAGCTGCCAGGGGAGCTTCGATGAGCTCTGGGTGACCAGGAGGGAACTGCTGAACACACAGCGTTCAGAACCTGCTGACTGTGCACCAGTGCATGTTTGGCTGCGTGCTGAAGGCTCATCTGCTGCCTCCCACGTGGAATTCCTTCCCTGAAATGAGGAAAATCCTCTGGTTTGTGCTTCCCAGCAGTGCTGGGAGCAGCTCCCAGTCCGAGGGTTTATCCACAGGGTCCATGGCTGGAGAATGAACATGGCAAGGGCTGCTCTGCATTCCCCTTAAGCCTCACCAGGATCCTGCTGCTGCTTCAAATTCGGTCAGGATTAAAGGGAGAAAACTCCCCAAAGGACAGCAGCATCTGTTCATACATGGAGATAATTCACAAAAATGTGTTGTCATTGCACCTGCAGTGGGATCTTCCCAGCCTTTTGGGCTGGATTTGTGTCTCAGTTCCTGCTATTCCATCATGGAATGGGTCAGGTGAGGGAGGTGTGTGTCAGCTCAGAGAGTGCTGCTCTTCTCAGCAGATGTGGAATCAAACAGCACAAAAATTGGAGCTGTTCTGACCACACACTAGAGTTTTTTTGCTGTTCACTCGGCCTCTCTTGGTGGTTCTGTTTGCTTTTCTCTCCCAAAGGCAGCTCTCACAGGGCAGATTTCACTGGGGCAGATTGCATTTCCTGATGGGAATGCTGCAGAGAAGAGCCTCACCTCTTGCTGGATAAAAATCAGCATCACTGAGTCCATGCTTTGGTCCAACTTGGCCACAGGACATTGCTGAATTTCAATGATTTCCTCCTCTCAATAATCCCATCAAACCCTTTCCAAACACTGAGAAAAGTGGGCTGGGGGCTCCTGGGCAGACCTGGCTGCCAGGTACTGAACCTTGGCAGTGTGGCAGCATTTTCTTTCTCACCGCTGTTGTTCCATCTTTTTCTCATTTGCTAATTGCAATAAACTGTTCCTCCCAAAACCACATACCTGGACTGCACTTCTTGTACAGAACATTCTGCCCTTATCAAGAAATGACCTGAAAAATACTCCTTTTTTTATTATTTTTTTTTATTTTTTTTTTTAATAAAATACTCTTTTCCACAAGGCAAGGAGAGATTGTCAGAGAAGCATTGAAGATGAAATATTTGGTCATTTTCTCTGTATAAAGGGCAGTATTTCTCCTGGATGAAAGTTTGAAAGTGTTTTGTGTTTCAAGAGACAGCACTGATTCCAGCAGAAACTTCCTGGTGATGGAAATGGAAGGGAGAGTAACCAAGCATGCCAGCTACTCYAATATGAAATGAATGTCCCAAATATATATATTTTAAGCCCATATTACTGCTAAAACACAACKAATACAGATTGCCTTGATGTAGGGCCTTCCAGATGAGAGTTTTGTTATTCCCTCTGCTTGTCCAATATATTCCAAAGCGCCGTTGGTTTTGAAATCCTTCGGTGAGAAGCATTGCAGTCATTTTAAAGTCGTGTGCTGCTCTATCTCAGGGAAGAACATATATTCACCCAGAGACCATAATTTTATTTAGTAGCCAGGCAGTCCTGCTTTATTGCACTAGTGACTCACTGTTTTCATGAGCAACTTGGCAGTTCAGCTTCTCCTTCAGACAACTCAAAAATTTAGGGTGTGTGATGTGTGCTTGAGTTGGCAATTTATTTCGTGAAGAATGAAAGCRCGAGTGAAAAGGAAAATAAATGTGGCTGCCTCAGTTCCCTTTCCCTGCTCATTCCAGTGGGAAAGAGATATTGGAATCAATGGCTTCAGTGGGGATTGGCAGGGGCTGGGATGTCCTGCATCCTTTCACAGTTCACAATATCCCTTCAAGAGATCTGGGCAACATCTGCACCTCCAAACCCCTCCACACCACGGCCAAATGCAGCTCTGAAATAAATGAGCTCTGACCTCTGGGGAGCCCTCAATTCAAGAAGGTGACACAGAARGGACCCAGGAGCTGCTGGCACTTGCAGCCTCTCCTTGTATCAGAACTCAATTTGAGTGAGTCAGATGTGARCCCAGAGGATGGAAAATATTTGACATTTCCATCAGTCTGAACAGCAGAAGCCCCTTTCTTTTCAGTGTAGCTGCTAYTTCATACTGGGTATCACAGTGGTGCTTTTTGGGAAAACTTAACTGAGCTTTTCAGGGTTTTATCCTTTTTCTAAATTTTGATTCCTTTTGCAGCAGAGCAAGAATATAAATATTGAAAAGAAAGGCTTAATTATTGATACTGCCTAAGTTAAGTAAGTCCCATGATTTCAGAGCCTGACACAAGTGGGTGGATAATGGTTTTGCCATGTCCACGTGGTGCTGCCATGCTCCCTCCTTTACCCTCAAATGAACATCCCAAGGATTCCTGAGAGCTCCTGAGAGCTGCRTTTCCCAAATGCCAGGGTACCAAGGGTGTGGGTGGGTTTAGACTGTCACTTGCAAAACAATCCCACTCCATTGCAACCCATGATTCGCTGGAGCGGCGATTACAGGATTCCCTTCCTGMCCTTTTCCATGGAAATTTGTCCTTCCCCGCATGTCATACATGTACCTAATACACCTCAAGGCTGGGAGTTTATTAACACAGGGGCTTTTCCTTTGTTTTTTCTGTGATTATGCAGATTATTGCTTACCAGCCCTATGGGAAGTCGGTGGATTGGTGGGCGTACGGCGTGCTGCTCTATGAGATGTTGGCCGGCCAGGTAAGGTTCACCCTCCTTCCTCCTGCTTCTCCAGGCCTGTTTCAACTCTCCCTGAAGGTTTGGGCCATTAGAGGATAAGACTGAAGCCTTTCATTGTGTTGTTATCTCCTTGTACTCCTGCCTGCCTCGGCTGGGGATGTATTTAAGCTTTAAGCTCTTTATGTTGCGCCCACATCATCAAGCTCTGCCTTTGAGCACGGCTCCTTTGTGCTGCAATAATGTCATAAATAACCGTCCTCAGCAMTGAAAGGGAGACACTGGAGCAGCAAAATGCATGTCAAGTGGAAGAAATACCATTTAGAGGGTTGAAACCACGGGGAAGCATAATACGAGTGTGTGTATCAGCTCCGCAGTGCAGCTGAGTCGTGAGAATATGGGTTTTTGTGCCGAACGTCCTGGGGGTAAAATGCAGCTCTGTGTGCTCAAAATCTGCTCAGTTACAGACCCCTCATGCTGCACAGCTSATGAGAGGCTGCTCTCTGAGTCACTCAGGGTGGGGAAGCAGAGCTGTGCTGCAATAAATGACAGATAAGCACCAACTTGAAGGAATTCTGTTAGTCTTGAGTTGAAAAAGATTCCTGCCATTGGCTTTCGGTGACGGTTAGCTGAAGGCAGGCGTTTCCAAAGCTTCAAACATTCATCAAAACATTCATTAAAACATTCACAAATGCCTTTAATAGGTTCTCTGCTGAATTGCAGTGGACATTTTCAAAGTTTGAACGTGTAGCARTTGCAGCTGTTAACATTTGCAGGCTGAATTGCAAATATTGGCCATCTGAATGCTTTGGAGAAAAGGGGATTTACCATTAGCTGGATCTTGCACAGGGCTSATATCCTGAGATTGATCCATGGGCACTTTCCTACCCCCTGTATTTTAAAATGTAGTGCAGCYCTTCCTTTTTATAGTCCCAGAAGCAGAATCAGCCATGGCATAAAACAAGCAGGAGTTAAACTGGAATTAAKTGAGGAATGGATATACCTTAGCACAAGGTAATTGAAAGTCTCCAAACTTCACCCTTTGAAGTATTTTGCCTGTCTGGTGCACAGTAGCTTTAAAAACTGATTAAAGCTGATCACAAAGATAATCCTGCACACATTTCATTAACCTGGCTGCCATTCTGGGGACAGAAATGAACATTTCTGCCTGATTTTAATCTGAGACRACTGCCAAACACCAAACTTCTGGGTCAGAAGATGCCCAGGCTGCAGATGGCTGGGAGCTGGGGGTTGTTCCTGGACAAGGACCACTTCTGTGAGCTGATCTCTTTGGGAATGGTATTGCCATGCTATTTCATAGAAAATAAAAAATGCAAACTCAATAATTAACTTGCTTCTGATTTATTCTCACCAGCCTCCWTTTGATGGGGAAGACGAAGACGAGCTTTTCCAGTCCATAATGGAGCACAAYGTTTCCTACCCCAAATCCCTGTCCAAAGAAGCTGTCTCCATCTGCAAGGGGGTGAGATGAAATTTTAGATTAAATTTTATGTATCATTAAGTCCCTTTTGACATTCCTTGTGAACAGCTGGGTGTGCCTCACACAGCACCGTGGTGTTTGAAAGTACAACAACCTCCATCAGTCAGAGCTGAGCTGTGCTGTCACTCGGTGTCACTGGGAAGTGCTGGGCTCTTCCTGCTGTTCCGGCTTGTTTTATGGGATGAACAAATGTCAGGATCAGCAGCTGCCAAGATCCAGAGCAGAATTTACAAACTGGACTGYGGTGGGAAGGGGCTCCTCTTGCTGTGCCCCTCACCTCGATGTTGCAGGATGAGATTTCTCAGCTTGGAGATGCTCCAGGGAGTCCTCAGCCCAAAATGGCTGGAAAATGTTACTGACAGGATCAGAGCATAAGAGTTTGGGAGAATYATCTCTAAATGTAGGTGAAGATGAGCTGATGTGAAAATCTGCAGCATAAATGCAAGGAAAAATCTGACCCAGTGGTGCATGTGGGCCTAAAATTGGCCTTAGATTCCARATTAATTTTTTTTAACTTCTGAGGAAAAGAATAGATTTGACTTCAGGGGATTATCATATGGAAAAAGAAATTCATTTGGCTTTGCTTTGATTCCTTGTGATTCTCCAGAGCACTATCAGTCTGCAGCTTTTCCATTTCACCACCTGTGATCGGTTATTTGATGTCTGACTTACACTGATAAAATAACATTGCACTTAGTTAATTTGCTATATACATTCTTCCCATCCTTTGCAACCATTTATGAAGTGTTATACACGAGCTGGATGTCAGCCCATTAAAGGAAATCRTCAAGGGAAAGAAAAGGTGTTTAGAACAAGGAGGTAAAATGAAAGGCCACGCCAATTTTGGAGCTTATCCCAGTGTAAATGTGCTGGCCAATAAAAAAATAAAGATTATGTATTTTTGTAAAGTACATTCAGATTGCTGCCTTGTCAGGACAGTCACAAATTCAAMCAGCACAGGCTGGATTTGATATAATTGCCCTGCTTTCATCTCTCTGGGTGCTCATGCCAAGGGAGGGCAGAAAGCTGAAATCACCCTGCACCTTGAGCTTGAGGGCAAATCTCTGTGATTCTGACACGTTCTTCACCTGTATTGAACTGTCAAGTTAATTCAGGTTTCAGTGGGCATTTTTGCTGAGCTGAGAAGTCAATATGAGAAAGCTTCTGACCCTTGCAGAGAGCGGCAGCTCAGCAATCCCAGGACTGGGCACCACCAGGCAGGACAAACGTGCCCACTGTGCTCATGGAATTGATTTGTCTGCTTGACTTCCATTCCACTGATTGAGAGTCTGTTGGGTTTGGTAAATGCATCAACTTTGGAAAGAATTAAAACTCCTGGAATCAATACTCCCATTTTCTTTTATCACCTGCTGCGAAAGCGAGAGGTTTGGAAAAGGTGACCAAAATGGGAAAGTTGCTGTGAATCTTGAGGAGGGCTGTGATTCCAGCCCAGTGCACAGCCACTTCCCAAACCTGCTCAGAGTCGCTTTTATTTTAGGTTCAAAATTGGAATCAGATCAACTCAACATTTGGAAGGAGCCTAAAGTGGCACAGCTGAGGTTTTAAGAAGATCTGTTGAGGGATCACTCCCAGCAGCACATTAATCATAGACAATTTGTCAAAGAGCTTTAAAAAGTCCCCACCAAACTGGAACTGAGAGTTTAAGGCCTCTTTGCACAATTCCCAATGTACACACYGATTGGAAGATGCTGAGGAGTTTGTTAATTAGGGAGCACATTTCAATTTCTGAGCACGCCAGGCTGGTGGGTTTGGGGCTGGTTTTTTTTTCTTCCCAAGTCTGCTTAATCTCTGCAACTGGGTTCAGTATTGACCAGGATGTCATTAAGAATGCAAGGGAGGAAACACAGATTAGATGTTGTCAGCTGGGTGCCAAAGAATCGGAGGCTCTGTAATGAGATGTCTTGAACAAGCCCCAGAAAAATGAAATGGGAGTGGGGCGGTTGGACTTCGTACAGCTTTAGTGCATTGGAATTTATGATGTTTAATTGATTGTTGRGATAGGGCAGAAACTGTTCTGGAGATCTGTAAGGTTGAAGTGAGAGATTGGAGGTGAAATTCGGGGGTGAGTTCTGACCAGCGGGGATGGCAGCRTGTCCTGGGCACCACCTGCACCTCTGGCAGCAACCTTTGCCCAGGGGGAGAAATTTCCCTTGTGTAGCCTCTAACTTTGTTTCTGGTTGGCTGTCTCCAGTGACCAAATGAGAAAATTCTTCCAAAAATTAATTTGAGCTTTTCAAAGCAATTTTATTATCAATGTGTATCTTCAGGAGAGGAGCAAAAGCATTGCAAGCAGGGGGAAGTCCCTCTACTTTCATTCAATTAAATGGAATCGTTTGATGTTTCCTTCCCAACAGCTGATGACTAAACATCCTGCAAAACGCCTTGGCTGTGGCCAGGAGGGTGAAAGAGACATCAGGGAACACGCTTTCTTCAGGAGRATCGACTGGGAAAAGTTGGAGAACAGGGAGATCCAGCCACCCTTCAAACCCAAAGTGGTGAGTGGGCGCCGGTTCCTCCCCTCACTGTGCTCAGTTGGGGCAGGGCTAACAATGCCTTATGGGGCTCCCTAAAACAGSCTGGACAAAACTCAGAGAATAAAAAGCARTTCTGTTYATKGCAGGGCCTTCAGGRCCATCCAGGYCAATCCCAGCCCWCCCACAATGGACARTGGCTCACGGGTTTTTCACCYTTTCTCACTTTTGTCCATTTGCACATCGGGATTTGCTGAATCCTCCAATTGCAGCTGCAGCCAAGGCAGTCAAAAACTCCAACTTGGCTCCCCCCAATTCTCTGTTGTTTCCATCTCTTGGGGCCTGGCMCAGGGAGGTGTCCTTGAGTTTGGGGCTGCAGAGGAATTGTTTTGTGTAAAAATGGGAGAGCAGGAGCTCAGCACTGTCTGTGGAGTCTGGAGTTAAACACTGAAGAATCACAGGGGTACAGAGCCATGGAAATAGAGAAACTGAAATCCTAAAGCATCACTAAAATGAGGMAATTGGATCAGGGCAGGCCTGTCTGGGAGTCTGATCATGTTTTGCACTGTGGAGCCCAGGGAACATTTTTCCTTGCAAAAGAATCCTCTTAGTGGTTTGAGCCCTGCCTGGATGGTCAGCACTGCAGAAAGCTGAAAACAGCGAAAATTGGCACATCCACAGCAGCCACCAGAGASTGGTAATAAATGTGGCTCACAACGGCCTCCTCTGAGCAGCATCTGCACTCAGGAGCTGACTTAGGGATTTGGATTAYGGGGCTGAATTTCCTCCATGGTTGGCTGCACAGAACAGGGGGTTTTATTCCCTATCCTACAGCAAAGTCTGCGCCGTTTGCAAGAAAAATCCCATGTTTTTTAATGGCTTGCACACATGTATCTGCAGGACCATTTTAGAAATCCAAGCGAGTGGAAAGATGTCCTTTCCCTGAGAGCTGTTTGCATAATAGAATTGGAAGAGCTTTGCTTGTTGAGACAGAATTTCTTTCAGCATGTGCTGTGCTTTATTGACAGGCAGAGAGGAGACTTTGCACACAAGAATTCAAGCTTTAAGGAGCTGCTGTAAAATTCTGTGTCCTAACATTGAATCTTTCTTCCCCAACCCTTTTATTTTTCAGCTGGGATGTCTGGCTGGCTTTAGCATTTTGGGTGTAGGGGGACTGGTCTGTACACTGATTTATTTGCAAATACACACATTATAGTGAGGTATTACAGATTAATGAACAGGGGACTTCACCAACCAAGTTATTCTTCACTTTTTTCATACAAATKACTTTTTCACATCACCAGGAGGAGAGCTGCAGCTGAGAAGAGTTTTTTACCACCTGAGGAAATACCTTTTTGGCRAGGTGCAGATTTTGCACACAGGGAGGGTGTAAATAAACCAAGAACTCATGTGGTGCTGCCATCCCTGCCCAGCAATCCCCAGAGCTGGCTGTGCCCAGGGCAGCTGCTCTCCAGAGCACATTTCATGGCAGGTTTTTATTACGTGCTTCTTGAGTAGAATTTAAAGCTGATCATAAAGCAAATCTGCCTTCACCTCTGAAATTTTTATCAGCTCGGGAGTGAGTGCTCAGAGTCTCCTGGAGGTGAGCAGTAACACCAGCAGGGAGGGACTGAAAGCTGGAAGGATGCTCTGGTGCCATCCCAGCTCCTGGCTCCTCCTCAGAGCWGCTGTGCTCTGTCTCCCTGGTTATCTGGGAGATAGATTTTGTTATTTGTTTACCCAGGCTGCTATCAAAGCACACCGAGGYGGGTTCACACAGAGCCCAACTTCCCCAGACAAAAATAACCTCAAATCCCAGTCTGGTACTCACATGCCCTGTGCACAGCTCATTCATGGTGCCTGCTGGTTCTATTTATAYCAGGATCATGCAGTTATGGGATCCTTTAGGRYGGAAAAGACCTWTGARTYCAACCATAATCCCAGAACTGCCCAGCTCACCACCARCCCATGTCCCCAAACACCASACCTCCACACCTTTTAARCCCCYCCAGGGATGGATAGTGATTTYARAAAGCAAAAGCCATTCATCTGTTTGAAGATATGGATATATTTATACAGAAGCCTCTTTATCTCATGACCTCGTGCTGATGGATGGGAACCTTTCTGACTGCTTTTCATCAGAATTCAGCTACTAAAACTCCTTGTTTTCTCTGGGATTTTTTTCTGAAATACCTGAAAATTTTCTCTCAACTACCCATAAGAAACGAGGAAAAGCCTTGCACRTGTCCTGACAACTCTGCCAGTGTTTCACTGACCTTTTTCAACCTTTTTTTCTGTTTTCCTCTCTCCTTGCAGTGCGGCAAAGGGGCTGAAAACTTCGACAAGTTCTTCACGCGAGGACAGCCGGTGCTGACRCCTCCTGATCAGCTGGTCATTGCTAACATAGACCAAACAGATTTTGAAGGGTTCTCCTACGTCAACCCCCAGTTCATGCACCCCCTGGTAGAAAATGTAGCGTGAAACAGCAGAACAAACCCCGCCGCGGGGAACGGCCGTAACCCTACAATTTTTAGGCTTCTGCCTCGTTGATTCCATTTGGGCCTGGAAATTGTAGGGTTAGAGAGGGTGTGAGGTGAGGGAAGGGCCACTTAGTCAGGATTTGGGTTTTGCAACAGTGATGTTGTCTTAACAGGAGATAAATCAGTGTACGGTGCCCACTTTTTCTCCTAGAAGTCGCCATCGACTCTTCTAAACTCACCCACGTTTTGGTACGTTATAGATTTTGTAACTCCCCACTGTCCTTTTGCTCCCTTTTCCTCTCTGTTGTGTTGGGAAAAAGAAAAAAGCAATCTAACAGGTGGTCAGAATGAGAAGCCACCTKGAGTATTCCTTCCTTGGGGTGGGAGCATCCTCCTGGTGCTTCCCAGAGACTTTTGGGGCATCAGAAGCACAGAGACTGAGTGGGGTCAGCTCCAGAGGGGAGAGGCACTGCAAAAACATTGCTGGAAGTGTTGGGAAATATGGCAGGAAAAAAAATAAAGTTGGGAATGGGTGGGAGAGGGGGTGAAATCAAATTAGACCCTGAGGCTTCACAAACAGATCCTGTACAATCCCAAATAAATGCACTCGGGTGGTGGCCAGATCTCTGGGGTTTTTGCTAAGAGTAGCATGTGATAAACTCAAGGGTGAAATTTTGTCTTTAATAATAATAATAATAATAATAATAATAATAATAATAATAATAATAATGATAATAGTAATAATTTTAATAATACTTTTGTGAATTTTAATCTCCATGAGATTATTCTGTGATCCAGGGTGCCATTGTCTGTTCAGCTGGTTTCATTTACGCCACTCCTCAAGTTTACCGTTAACTGGTTCTAATACCAACGTTTTACTATGAAATTTATTAACCTGGAATGTAAAGCAAAACTKTAATTCCTTAAATCTTATTTACACGTGTTTATTTATAGTCTRCAGTGTAGGGCAGTAAATTGAAGAAAGCATTATGTATACTAAATTAACAAAAAAAATGCAGCCCCAAGTGACTTCCTGATTTCTCCAGAATAACTCATGAAAATTGAGGGAGACTTAGTCTTAAAATAATCAGGTTTAATTCAGAAAACTTTGGGCTGTAGAATAATCAAGCCTGAAAGAAGCAGCACCTAAAACTCGTTTTATTGATAGAATGGAATTTACTACGTTTTACATATGCTTCATGCAATGAATTTTGCATGTTTAGTAATAACTCTTAATAATAAGGGTTAATAATAAGCAGATCTATATTATTGACATAATCGTATCRAGCATAAAGAGTATTATAAAAAATTTTATAAAACAACTTGTGCTTTATTTGTGGAAGTTCTTGTTCTGAATGACACCATTTAGATTTAGCTAAATGTTTTCTTGCTATTGTTTTGATTTTTACTTTAGGTTTTGAATATTGTTACTGGYTTAGGGTATAATCTCTTTTTTTTTTTAAAGTAGATATACTTTTAAATAATAATTGCTACCTGCAGGTTTTATACGAGGTTCAATTAGGCTTTCATTTCACATCTGCTTATTACTTGCAGAGAAGGAAATAGACTTTATTTGCAATGATGAACACTGTAATTAATGCAATCTTCTCCTCTCCTATCACTTAGATTAAAAAAAAATTTGATATTTCCTCTTACAACTTACCAGAAGATATTAATTCAAATATCAGTAAATAATGTTTTGTGCATATTTTGGTTTTGTTACAGCATGTAAAATAGTAGTTGGTGCATTTCCCCTTTTTTTTCTCCCTCCTGCCTTGATCCCGTTAGCAGCCACAGGCAGTTTTTGTCTGTCAGATGTGCATGATGATGCCAGAAGCATGATGTCTCTGTTGCTGCATGCAGACTTGATTACGATTTTTCCAGCATGTAAACATATTCAAAAAGTAAGATATTTGCCATAAAAAGATTTCAATTTATACTAGAATATGTAATGGGGTGGGGTGGGAGGGGAACCGACTTTCTAATTATCTTTTATGACAATAAAACATGGAACCTGTGCCAAAGATTCTGTCAGAAAGATCCAACCCTGCCAGGTGGTGGCCAGAGGGACGGGCTGGACCTCGGGGGTGCCCTGGGTCAGTTGGGCAGAGATTGAGGGAAACGTGGTTGGGATGTGAAGGGTGTCAGTTCCTGCACCCATGGGACCCTCAGAAAATGTGGGTTTGGGGTCAGGATGTGCAATTCCCACACTCCAGGAGTCCAATTGTTGCCTGTTTTAGTCTTTTTGTACCCCCAGTTCCAGCAAGGAGCATCTTGGAGTGATCAGCCCCCAGCTGATTCCAAGGTGTGACCAAGTGACAGGAACTCAGGAACTCGGGTCATTGCCCAAATAAACAGAACTCCAAACTTTTCAAACACTTTAGGAGTGAAAATTTTCAACTGTCCTGTGTCAAATATGTTGTCAGCCAAGACTGGGAGTTCATTTTCTCCTTTGTGTTTTATACACTTCCAAAATGATGGTGTTCACCATAAAGCCTGTGGCCTAGTGCAGCAGTCATGGTTTTTTATTTATTCATTTTTCCTGAACATTATTAGCCTGCTAATGTTTAGTAAAATCTGGGTGTCATGCTGTAGGAGATCATTGGCTGAATTAAGAGATTACTGAGGCTCAGATTTTAATCAAGAAGGGGCTCTCAGCTATGCCAGTCTGCCAAGAGATGGCTTTAAGGACATGAAGAGCAAAAGGCACTTTTAAAAAAGGGAAAATACTGGGAGAAATAGCAGCACACGGGTTTGGGGAGTGAGCAAAACAGAACAGGGCAGAACTGAACCAGGCAGGAGATCCCATGGGTGGATATTCCCACAGCTGGGATGAAATTGGATTGTCCAGGGAAGTCCCACATTGGGTGGGTGTTGGTGGCACAGCAGGGACAGTGGGTGCTGCTCACACCAGGACAGGGTGTCACAGGGCTGCTCTGGTGCTGGGACAGGGCTGCTCATTCTCTGGCTACTCCTCATGCCCACTTTCTTCATCACTCATGTTTTTTCTCCCATTTTTTCTGCTGTAGAAGCAGAAATTCCTCTTCAGCGTTATTAACTCAGGTCCCTGGGCTCGTGATGTCCGTGTTGTCCTCTGGAGTTTCTGTAACCCTTAGGAGAAGGTGCTGGGAGCTCCTGGATCCTGCAGGGTTGGATAAAGCAGGGATCAGCTGTGTCACCCTCCCTGCCCTTCCTGATGCCCTCACAAGTGAAGGGTCACGCTCAGACCTTTCCCGAGAAATCCCTCTGGCTGCTCAGAACCCAGAAATTTAGAAAGGCAAGGAAAACCTGAAGTATCCAGCCAGAATTTTCATCTCTTTTCAGACACAGATGTTATTTATGTAATATTTTTCACAGGATTTGGATTTCTAGAGAGCGTGTATCAGCAGAAGGAGAGGCATTAGAGCTGCTTCTCCTTCACTTGTGTTCGATAGCAACTGCAATCCCAACACCCACGTTGCCACCAAGATTCCCAAAAGACAAATTGAGATTTGTGCTGCACTGAGGCTGAGAGGGGGAAATTTTGGGAGCTGTAATTGAGAATTGTGCTGCACTGAGGCTGAGAGGGGAAATTTTGGGAGCTGTGTTCCCATCCCTGTGCCCAAATCCCAGATGGTTCCAAGGCAGCCCCATTCCTGCCAGGGGAGGTGCAGGTCTGCCATATAAAACTTCCAAGGGGTTTTTAGGGATCAGATGGGACTTCACTGRCTCCTGGGCAAACTTCTGCATTATTGGGGCATCTGGGTGTTTTTGAGCACCTCTGAGTCACCAGAATCACCTCATCTGGCCAGGCTGGGTGCTCTTAGCGAGGCTGGCACATCCGTGAGAAGGAGAGAGCACATTCCCATATAAAACACTCCTTCTTAATCCAGTTCAGATGAGAAATGCAATTCAACTTTCTGACCCTTCATTCTTTCCAGAAATACAATTGAATTTCCTTTTACAAACTGAAGGAAGTTCTTCTGGAAATCAGCTGTTGGTTTAAAAAAACCTCATCATGTCTGAGCGCTGTTGGCCTCTGAAACCCGTCCTGTCTTTTGGGGTGAATCCAATTCAATAAKTCTGGGCTTCTATAAAATTAATAAGGTTGAGCAAGAGAGGAACTTGTCTTCTAGCTGGAGGGATCACATGTCCAAGGATTGAGTGGCATCACTTGAAAAGTGTTTTCTGAGCTGGTGAATCCAGTTCACTGCCATAGGAGAGCAGGGAGCAGGGCGGGGAGGATCCTCTTTATTGTGCAAAGCATAGCATTGGAAATAATAATAATAATTYTTAAAAAATAATAATAATCCAATAATAAAGCTTTGCTACAAGTACAAAGTGTATGTACAGCATATCGAGTTTACAGGGGGCTTTCAGAGCTGCCAGGGAACTTCTGGAAATATTGAATGTGATTTTCAGTTCTGTTAGTCATTAGCATAAGTTATTGTACATAGGGGTTTTTGTCTCTTGTCTGTGTTTGCTGCATCCCCTCAGTAGGTGGGCACCGAGCTGCTGACAGTCCAGCAGCAGACGAGCTAAAAATCACTTTTTTTCCCTCGGCCCCGTGCTCATAGATGGGATCTGAAATAAGAAAGATTTGACTCCACATCCACGTGTGATTCCCTCGCTGTGCCAGTAACCACTGGGAATTCAAGAGCCTTATCCTGAATAATCACCGTGCACTACAGCCCTGGTGTTCCCAGGAAACCCTCGAGGGGCAGAGGGCCACGTTCACCTCTCTGCCTCCGTTACCTCTGTAAAAGGGGGTGATGACTCTGACTGACCTCACAGGGAGGGGTGAGMACTCCTTAGGCCACGTTTCTAATTCTCTTTTAACCTGACAGGAGCTGTGTAAGCGTTATTATCATTTTTAATATTCAGTCAGCTTCTCGGATTCGCGTGGTACTGCTGGCTATACCATGCTGTTTCTACTTTTTTACAGACCTTTAGTAACTCYGCTGAAACCGTTTGAAGAGAGAAATAAAAATCAGATCTGATCCCGTTTCTTACAGAATCTGGAGCCCAGCTTTTGTACCTGAGTCAGGCTGTGGCAGGGAGTGATGCTCACTCATTGTGGGCTGCACTCACCTCTTTCCCAGCTACTGAGATTTTTATGTGCAATTTTAACAAATTCCGTGTTGGTGGAAGTCTTAGCAGAGCTGATCACTGCAGGGGGAGATTCCCTTTGGGTAAATAAAGTCAGCACAGTTGTTTTCTAGCACCGTTTTTACCGACTCCTGCCCAAGGAGGAGCTCTGTTYTTTGTGCAGCTGGTCCGTCCATGCCAGGTCGATATTTTCTGTTGATAATTTAATGTATTTCTGTGTTGTTAATGTGTCTTTGTGTTGTTTATTTTGTTTTTTTCTAACTTGTCTGTGACACCGTAGTTCGAATTTAAAAGAAAACAGCTCCAGAAGCTGGGTTTTTTTCATCCACTGATGTCAGTTGACCTAAATAAATAAATTAAGYCTGTTAATGATTTGAAACTGTGTGAGATGAGTAGCAACAACACTGATAATCAGCTGGCATTGAAGCTCATTTCTCACTCCGGTTACATTGGACACTCTGCAGCTGATGTTTCATTAATTTTATAATTGCTAATGACAGGAACATTTTAATGGAAAGGAAGAAGATCTTCCWGATCTTTGCAAACATTTTCCTAAGAATTATTTGGATTTCTTGTCCTTCTGTCTGAACCCCATGAAGGTTCTGTCCTTCCAGAGCTTCACTCGCTCCTGGTTTGGCTTCCGAGCTCCCTGAGTGCTCRGCCAAGATCCCCAAATTCACTGGAAATATTAATTCATGATCTGTTTGTGCCCACTGTTGGCCTTGGGGCAGAAAAAACAATGTCCTTGCAGGGGCAATACAAATTTAATCTACGGCTTGTCCCCTACCAAGCCTTTCATTTATCCAATCCTGTATTATGGAAATGAATGTAAAAAACACCAGTTTCAACAAAATGAAGCTCATTGGCTCTGTTTAAAATGTGCATTTAACCAACACTCTGTGGTTTTTCACAATACAGAGAACACCTGAAACTTCTCAAATGACTGTATTTCACTTTAATGTTATCTTTTTTTAAACACTGAGCAATCCCRCTTCGAACTCATTAATATTTTTCGTATTATTTTAAGACCCAAATGTTGTATTTATACAGAGGAGAACATTATTTATTTTCATATCATTTATCTGCAAGATGCTACCAGAAAATTTGGAGAGGCCATTCATTTTTCAAAAGATTTAAAAAAATAAAAAAAAAATGGAAGTGTAGTGGGCAAGACTGATGTACAAATTACAGCATCTTTTGTTTTGTTTTGTTTGGTTTCCTAATTCRCAGTACCTTCGATTCTTTGTTTGCATGGAACGCTTTTGTTTAAGTATTAATTGTAGTTTCAAAGCAAGTGTGTACGAATAAAAACACTGATCATTACTTTTGGGAGAGTTTGCTCTGCTTTTGTGGAATTTCCTTTCAAGTTTGGCTCCCCCAAGGCCGRAGGCTGTGGGAGGTTGGTGTGATCGGCCACAAAAGTCAGACATTGATTCTTCATTCAGGCACAGAATTTTAACCTGGGTTCTTTTTTAATCCTTGTTAATAAATCAAGAGGGGAAAAGGGGCTTAAGTGGGGAAAAGAGCATCCCACTGGTGATCCCAGAGCAGGACAATCCCCCAAGACAATGACTCAGGTGTCACCACATTGGGGAAAAAGGGGAAATATCCTCAACTCTGCATCTTTGCTTGACTCGTTCTGAGCAAGAACAGGCTGCTGGTTCTGGGAAAAAATGAAATGTTAAAGGATTCTGCAGGAGGGGCTGAATCTCTCCGTGCCTGCCTCGTGCCATGTGAGAGCATCTCCGTCAGGAATGATTCCAGAGTGATAAATCACAGCCAGCGTTCGTGCCTGCCTCCCCCAGCCCCAGCCTCTCTTCAGAGCTTTGCCTGTTTGATTCAGAAATCTCGGGATGTTTTTGCAGAGCGAGCTGCAAATAAAACCCGTCTCCTCTGAGAACTCGGCGAGCTGAAATGACGGCTGCATTAATTACCAGGAGGTAATTATAATCCCACCTGCTCCCCGGGGAGCCYTGCTAAAGCAAAGGCAAATCAATCAGGAGCCCAGATCAGGACGAGCTGTTGCCACGTGTGGGTGGCTTGTCCTCAAAGGGACGCTTTCCCTGSCTGCATCTGTCACTTGTCACCTTCCCAAAAAACGGGGATCTGTTCAGGAGAGCAATGGAAGGGCTGRGCCTGCAGAAATACCTGCAAAAGWT